TAAAACCAGCTTGAACATCTGGAAGTTCACGGTTCACATATTGCTGAAGCCTGACTTGGAAAATCTTGAGCATTACTGTGCTAGCGTGTGAGATGAGTGCAATTGTGTGGTAGTTTGAGCATTCTTTAGCATTGCCTTTCTTTGGGATTGGAATGAAAACCTACCTTTTCCAGTCCTGTGGCCACTGCTGAGTTTTCCAAATTTGCTGGCATATTGAGTGCAGCACTTGAACAGCATCATCTTTTAGGATTTGAAATAGCTCAACTGGAATTCCATCACCTCCACTAGTTTTCTTTGTGGTGATGCTTCCTAAGACCCACTTGACTTCGCATTCCAGGATATCTGGCTTAAGGTGAGTGATCACACCGTCTGGTTATCTGGGTCATGAAGATCTTTTTTGTGTAGTTCTGTGTATTCTTGCCACCTCTTCTTATATCTTCTGCTTCTGTTGGGTTCATACCATTTCTGTCCTTTACTGTGCCCATCTTTGCATGAGATATTCCCTTGGTAGCTCTAATTTTGAAGAGATCGCCAGTCTTTCCCATTCTGTTGTTTTCCTCTATTTCTTTGCATTGGCCACTGAGGAAGGCTTTCTTATCTCTCCTGGCTATTCTTTGGAACTCTGCCTTCAAATGGGAATATCTTTCCTTTCCTCCTTTCCCTTTTGCTTCTCTTCTTTTCTCAGTTATTTGTACGGCCTCCTCAGACAACCATTTTGCCTTTTTGCAGTTCTTTTTCTTGGGGATGGTCTTGATCCTTTGAAAAGATGTATATATGTATAGTTTTAACATTCTTATATAGTCCCATGAAGAAAGAGTTCTTTAATTTCTAGTGGTACAGTATTCTTCAGTAGGTATTCTCTGGCTCTACACCAGTTTCGGGTATTTGTGCCTTGTGGATCCAGAGATATTTGGGGCCCTGGTGGGTGTGCCTGTGTGTTTATCTCATGATCCTCTTGACTCAGGGAGAAGGGAGAATGGGGTCTCCTGGGCTTCTTGCCACAGGCTTGGGTTCCAGGTAGCTGGCTGATAGGTAAATTTTCCCCTTCCATGCTGTGGCTCAGATGGTAAAGAATCTGCCTGCAATACAAGACACCCACGTTCAATCCCTGGGTCTGGAAGATCCCCTGGAAAAGAGAATGGCAACCTTATCCAGTGTTCCTACCTAGAGAATTCCAGGGACAGAAGATCCTGGAGAGTTACAGTCCATTGGATTGCAAATAGTTGGACACCACTGAGAGATTAACACTTTCACTTCACATGCCCTAACCACTAACCCTGAAAGGACTCCCACACCCCTCACCACTGGGTCTTGTTCTTGGCGCTTCTGCAGGTCTCTCCCAAAGACAAACTCAGAGCCTCTCTTCATTTTAAAACTTTTCCTAGTCATTACATCTGGAAAGTCCCGAAAGGTACAGCTGATTTTTTTCCCTTAGAGTAGTAAAATCACAAAGCTTAAGAAGATGTTATAGAAGCCAAAAATTCTGGATTTCTCAACTAACACACATATGCTGTGAAAATACAAGCAATACTGAAGCATATCACATAAGTAAAAAGTTTCTCTGTGGGTGTTAATTTGCTGGGCAGAGGGTTCACAAGTTTAAACTGTAATAGATACTAGCATCTGGTACATCCTTGCAAATGTTCACCATCTTGATAGGAGAGAAAAGGGCCTCGTGTTCATGAGCAGAAAAGGGATCTCACGTTCATTTGCATTTCCCTGATTACAGTAGAGCCCAAAACTTTGTTTTTGGGCTCCAAAATCACTGCAGATGGTGACTGCAGCCATGAAATTAAAAGACACTTACTCCTTGGAAGAAAAGCTATGATCAACCTAGACAGCTTATTAAAAAGTAGAGACATTACTTGACCAACAAAGGTCCGCCTAGAGAAAGCTTTGGTTTTTCCAGTAGTCAAGTATGGATGTGAGAGTTGGACTATAAAGAAAGCTGAGCACAGAATTCATGCTTTTGAACTGTGGTGTTGGAGAAGACTCTTGAGAGTCCCTTGAACTGCAAGGAGATCCATCCTAGTGGAAATCAGTCCATCCTAGTAGAAATCAGTCTTGAACCGTTCATTGGAAGGACTGATGCTGAAGCTGAAAGTCCAATACTTTGGCCACCTGATGCGAAGAACTGACTCATTTGATAAGACCCTGATGCTGGGAAAGATTGAAGGTGGGAGGAGAAGGGGACAACAGAGGATGAGATGGTTGGATGGCATCACCGACTCGATGGACATGAGTTTGAGTAAACTCCGGGAGTTGGTGATGGACAGGGAGGCCTGGCGTGCTGCAGTCCATGGGGTCGCAAAGAGTCGGACACGACTGAGCAACTGAACTGAACGGATTACACTGGAGCTGAATATCTTTTATATTTCATTGCATGGCTCCTTTATGAGACAGAAAGTAAAAGTCATCCTGTATTGTACTTGGGGTTTGGGTAAGAGGCCAGAGAGCCAGGTGGGCCGGGCCTCCTCTGCCACAGGTTGGGGTTCGCTCGCCATGACTGTGACTGTAAAATGCAATTCTGAGAAAAAGTAACAAATTTCGGTTGTCATAACTGACTGTCTCAAAGTACACTCAGCTGCCAGTGAACTACACCACGTGTGGGTCATCTTACTTGCTGGTCAACGTCAGGCTCCCGGAAAGCGAGCGTCCGGCGCGCAACAATGCGGCTTCCAAGGTGGTGTGGCCAGCGAGCTGCCCGCTTTCCCCGCGGGCCTTCCGCTCCGAAGGCAGACACGTTCCCGTCCCTCTACCCGCACCCGCCCGGGCCGAGCCCACCGTCTACGGCCCATCCCGGGGCTCGGCCGCACCCTCCCCTCGGCGGCAGGTCCGCACGCCCAGCGCCTCCACCCTCTGGGGTGCCGGCCAACATTCGCGCTGTTACCCACCGGAGCCCCAGGCAGGACGCCTGCGCACCCCCGAGACCACCAGGGGGCGGGCCGACCCAGCGGGAACCAGAGCAGCCACCGCCTCCAGCCCCACCCACCGCGCCCCGAGCCGCGGACACTGGCGTGTGCGCATGCGCACCATGCCCGCTCCGCGTCCGGTGGTTGTCGCCATGGTGACCGGAGCCCCGGCCGCCCCGCCCCCCGCGCCGCCGCCCGGCGGGTCTGGCGGCGACCCAGCGCGGGGTGAAGGGTGAGGGGTGAAAGGGTCAGCTCGGGGTGGGGGTGTGCTCGGGGTGAGGAGATATCACGGGGTGAGGGGTGAGGAGGTCGGCCGGGTTGTGGGGACCTTGGGTCGAGGGGTGAGCGGAGAGGGTCCGAGATGAGTGGGGGCTAGGTGAAGGGAGCTTGGGTGAGGGGCGAGGGGTGAGAAGGTCGGTTTGGGTGGGCGGCCCGCGGAAAAGACCTCCTGGGACTACGTCAGGGGGTGGGGACCTCTCAGAGGAGGAGGAGCCTCTTGGGGGTTGGGGGTCGGTCGGGGGCAGGGCCTGGCCGGAGGTGGGGCGGTGGTGACCTGAGAGGGGCGGTGAGCAGGGGAAGTGGAGGCCCGGGGGGTGTGGCCCGGGTCTGGAGGTGGGCCGGGGCCCCGACGGACGGCGGGTCTGGTTGGGTGCGGGGACCGAGTCCGGTCCGGGAGGGGGCGGGGTGGGCTGGGGAGGGCCGGGTCCTGGGGGTGGGCCCGCCCCACAGCCCGGCCCCGCCCGGCCCCACTGGCAGCGTCCGGTCCTCCAGGAGCCGCAGCCCGGGCGTCGGTGCTGCGGGCCGGCCGAGGAGGGGCACGCAGGGACACCGGCGCCCGCCAGCCCGCCCGCAGCATGTGGAAGCTGGGCCGGAACCGGGTGCTCCTGGACGAGCCCACCGAGGAGGAGGACGGCCTGCGGGGGGGGGCGCCGCCCGCCACCGCCCCCGCCGCCGCTCAGGTGAGGGGGCGCACGGGGGGACGGAGCGCTGGAGGCGGGGGTCGGGGAGGGTGACGCGGGTCGGGATGCGCGCGGCTGAGGCCTGGCCGCGCAGTGGGGGAGGCGCACAGGTGGGGCGCGCAGGTGAGGCCCGCGCCGCGCGGCCCGTTAATTTCCCGAGGCTGGTCCGGGCCCGACCGCTGTGCCCCGTGGTGCCTCCCACCCCCCCGCTCCACATTACGAGTGACTGAACCCTCCGCCTCGCCGCCCCTCGCGCGGTTTCGGGATCGCGGGCGCAGTTCCCGGAGGTGGAAACCTCGGGCCGTGGCCTTCCAGCGGCGCGGGGGAACCTGCCTGCCGAGTGGACGCGGCCCTGGCCCCGGCCCGGGCCCATCAGTCCAGCGCTGAGTCCGGGGCCGCGCGCCGCGCTGGGCTGGACTCACCGGCGAGGCCTGGGCTGGAGGGGGCCACCGGCCCGCCGGCGAGGTCAGGAGCTTCTGGGGACTGCAGCGGGCGCGCCGAGTGCGCTAAATACTTCAGATAACAAACAGACCTTCACCTCTGTTTAAACCCTCGGTTGGAGGAAGAAGGCAGATGGCCTTTATTTAGACAGACACTGCCGTTACAAGTTCGGAGATATGCCTGGAATGTTTAGAATTTTTTAATTAAAAAGGACCCCAGGTGGATCCTGTGAGCGTTACGTACGCTCCACTCCACCCCACCCCCAACACAGTGTTCCTTTTCCTATGCAGTGAAATTAGGTCAGAAATTCAGCTTTTTATTTTTAAAATGACGGTGGTCATACAACTTCTTGTTTGTTAAATGTTTGGAAACCCTCTCCTGTTGCTGTTGGCCTAAGACGGAAGTTAATGGTGATCTGTGTCTCTCTTCTTGGCTCTTGGAAATAGTTCAGGAGATTGTTTCTTTCCCAGTTGGTTCTAAATAACTTCCCTTGGAACTGAAGTTGCTTCATTTGGATATTTTTTTTAGTAGGAGTTAAATACCTTTAGATAAGCATTTAAATATGATCCCTATCTGAAGTGTCTTTCAGAAATCACTTTTTGGTAGTTTTAGTGCTCACCCTACTATTTACTTTTTAAATCTCAAAATTTTATGGTTATTCTAAACAACAACTTTCTTAAATATAATGTTGAGAATTTAAGTGCGGTTTAAATATGGTTACAGAGTTATTTCTGTGTATGACTATTATTGGTCAGAGATAGTAGTATTGTTTCTGAATGAACTTAAAATTTTATAATCTATTTTATAATCTGTTCTTCTATGTTCCACTTGTTTTCTAATGAATCCCAAAACACGTTTTTTCCCCTTTTAAGTTAAATTACTAACAGAGAAAAGTTGGAAGGATAGGAGATTAAACACCCACGTATATACTACCTAGACATAACCATTGTTGTTTAGTCGCTCAATCGTGTGTCGGACTCTTTACCACCCCAGGGACTCCAGGCTTCTCTGTCCATGGGATTTTCCAGGCAAGAATACTGGAGTGGGTTACTGTTTTCTTTTCCAGGGCATCTGCCTGACCAGGGATTGAACCTGTGTCTCTTACATTGACAGGTGAATTGTTTACCCTCTGAACCACCTGGGAAGCCCAGACTTAACCATTAGTGACACATGTATTAAAACTTTTTTTCTGACCTTCAAGTTTACAGAATTACAGTCTATACCTTTTTTTCCTCTGTGTGTAGTTGTATGTGTGTTTTAATAGACTTTTTTTTTTCTTTTTTTAGGTACACAACAAAACTCAGTGGAAAACAGAGTTCCCATATACCCCCGGTCCCCACATGTGTACAGCCTCCCCCATACTAGCAAAATCCCATTTGTTACAGCCAAGGAACCTCCACTGACACATCGTTATTGCCTAGAATCCACAGTTTACATTAAGGTTCCCTCTTGGTATTGTCTGTTCTGTGGATTAGATAAGTGTATAATGACATGAATTCGCCATTATAGTGCCATGTAGTATAGTTTCACTGCCCTAAAAATCCCCTGTGCTCTGCCTATTCATCCTTCCCCTGCCCCCCCACAACCATTGATCTTTTTGCTGTCTCCATAATTTTGCCTCTCCAGAATGTCAGAGTTGAATCATAAGATGTGCAGCTTTTACAGATTGACTTTTCTTACTGACTGAGCAGTGTGCATTTAAGGATCCTCCGTGCCTTATCACGGCTTGATAGCTCATTTCTTTTTAATGGTGAATAATATCCCATTGTCTGAAAGTTTACCAGTTCACTGCAGAGTGGCATCTTGGTTGCTTCCAGGTTTTAGCAATTATAAATAACGCTGCTATAAAATACATGATATGCAGGGTTTTGTGTGGACATTAGTTTTTAACTCATTTGGATAGATACCAAGGACTGTGTGATTCCTGGATCATAGACTAAGAGTTTATTTTGTTTGTTAGAACCAGACTGTCTCCACAGTGGCTGTACCAGTTTGCATGCCCACCAGCAATGAGTGAGACTTCCTGTTGCTTCCTGCGCTTGCCAGCATGTGATGTCAGTGTTCTGGGTTTTGGTCATTCTGATAGATATGTAGTGGCATCTCACTGTTGCTTAATTTGAATTTCACTGATAACATTTGATGCAGAGCATCTCTTCATCTTGCTCATTTGCCATCCATATAGGCTACCCACTCCAGGATTCTTGGGCTTCTCTTGTGGCTCAGCTGGTCAAGAATCCTCCTGCAATGCAGGAGACCTGGGTTTGAATCCTGGGTTGAGAAGATCCCTTGGAGAAGAGAAAGGCTACCCACTCCAGTATTCTGGCATGGAGAATTCCGTGAATTGTATAGTCCATGGGGTCACAAGGAGTTGGACACTACTGAGCGACTTTCACTCACTCATGTCTCCTTCAGTGAGATGTCTATTCAAATTTTCTTGCCCCATTTTTTAATTGAGTTGCTTTTTCCCCCTTATTGTTGAGTTTTAAGAAGTCTTTGTGTATTTCGGATAGCAGTCATTTATGAGATGTGTCTTTTTTTTTTTTTTGAGATGTGTCTTTTCCAAATATTTTCTCCCAGTCTATGCCATATCTTTTCATTTTCTTAACATTATATTTCACAGAGCAGAAGTTTTTAATTTTAATGAAGTCTAGGTTATCAGTTACCTCTTTCATAGATCACGTCTTTGGTGGTGTTTCCCCAAAGTTATCTGCATTTTATCCTGGGTTACCTTCCAGTATCCTTGCCTGGAGAATCCCATGGATGGAGGAGCCTGGCGGGCTATAGTCCATGGGGTCGCAAGAGTCGGATGTGAATTAGCGACTAAACTACCACCACCACCACCACCACCTCCTTCTAGGAGTGAGATTTGACTGCAGTTTCTATCTTACTTTATCAAGTATATCTATAGTTTGATGTGTTGAAAAAACTTTGCTATAGAAAAACAAAGATTTTTTTGTGGCAAGTTCAGTTCAGTTCAGTCGCTCAGTCGTATCTGACTATTGCAACCCAACGAACCACAGCACACCAGGCCTCCCTGTCCATCACCAATTCCCGGAGTCTACTCAAACCCTTGTCCATTGAGTCGTTGAGTCATGGTGATGCCATCCAACCATCTCATCCTCTCTCTTTTCACTTTCATCAAGAGGCTCTTTAGTTCGTCTTCACTTTCTGCCATAAGGGTGGTGTCATCTGGATATCTGAGATTATTGATATTTCTCCCGGCAATCTTGATTCTAGCTTGTGCTTCCTCCAGCCCAGCGTTTCTCATGATGTACTCTGCATATAAGTTAAATAAGTAGAGTAACAATATACAGCCTTGACAAGAGATTTGACTGCAGTTTCTGTCTTACTTTATCAAGTGTATCTTTAGTTTGATGTGTTGAAAAAACTTTGCTATAGAAAAGCAAAGACTTTTTGTGGCAAGTTGGTCATAACTCTAAATTTAGTTCATTTCATCAGGTAGATTGATATTTATCCCAAAGCCAACTTCTCTTAGAATTAAATTTTAAAGTTTATGACAAGTCTACCATAAAACTTCTGCCTACAAAATTTTATTTTAAAGTTGAAAGAAGTAGGAGTTACTATAGAAGGGTTTAATGGATCTGTTAAAATTGTGTCTCACTAGAAAGATATTCTCATTCCTCATTCTCATTCTACTTCATTTTCAGTGTATACCTTCCCCCTACCCCTCCCTGCCCCTCAAAAAAGTCAGTTCATATTAAAACATGTAGGCTAGGAGTGCACTTTGTCTAATTCCAGAAAGGCATTTAATTTGTGTTCAAATCTGGTCAGTCGACTTACTTGAAAATCAGGTCACACAGCTATAATCTGTGTCGTTTTTTAAGAAAAGAAAAAATAGCTTAATGTTAGGTTCTAGTAAGTTTGAAATGTGAGGCATTCCATCATTCCATGGATTTAAGGAATACTTAACTGTTACTAAAATAGCTTTAACATTATAGAAAACAAATTTATCTGAGTCTCTCTGTAGGTGATTAGCCTTTTTTGTCATGAATACGCATCTATTTTGTATTAAAGTATAACAGTGAGGTTTTTAATGTGAAACATTTATTGTAATCATTTAAAAAGAGAGATATAGAAGTTTTAATGACTCTAATGTTTGTTTAAACAACATCTGCTATGCATATAGTAAAACATTTCTGGATGTTCAATATTGGGTCTTCTTCCTCTTTCCAGTAGGAAGTATCATTACTTTTTTAATATAGCTATCCATGAAGCATTTATGTACATTCATAAGTGTATGTTTAAAATCACATATTTGCTTTTCCACCACAAACATTTTTGTGTACTTGGAATGGTTCTCTCGATAAATAATATATGTACCATGGGGCACTTCCTGTCTCAGGCCTACAGCTGGAAAAAAACCACCCTTAAGGCTGGGTGTGCCACAGTTTATCTGGTTGGGCCCCTCCTGATGGATGCGGAGGTGGCTGTCTTAGGCGCTGCTCCTGGGCGCTGTGTGAGCAGTAAGAGGAAAAGGTGGTCTGAGATGACCCACATGAGGGAGGGTTCAGCGGGTCTTCACTTGCCTTGCGCTGCAC